GCGGAGGGTAGATGATGAGTAGGGGGCGGGAAAAATGGGAGGAGGGAGGAGGAGATGGAGGACAGGGGCGGCGCGGGGAGGGAGAGCGGCAGGGGGGAAGGAGGAACAGGTCAGGAGAAGGAGGAGGAGGAGGAGGAGGAGGAGGAGGAGGAGGAGGAGGAGGAGGAGGAGGAGGAGGAAGAAAAAAGATGGCCTCGTTGGTTACGATGGGCGCCCCCCGGTAGTAGGCGATGGACGCCTCCCGGGCGCCAGTGGAGTGGGACGGAGGGGTGTTGGCAGAAAGGCTAAACGCGTATCCTTCCTTCCTCCAGATCCCCAGCGGCGTGTTTTGTTCGCGACGTTGCCCTCAAGAGGTCTCGACCCCTTCCTCCCAGGACTGGCTTTGCATCCTGAATCGTTTTTGACGGCCCCAGGGCCCAGTGAGTCCCCAGAGGCAACAGTATCCAAAGCCTCGCGCCATGTGGTTTTCGTTACGCGAGGGGGTCTAGGTTCTCCTTCTCCTCCTCCTCCTTCTCCTCCTCCTCTTCCATCCCTCTTCCTGAAGGATAACTCCTGCCTGTCGCACCCCCAGGCAGGTCGTAGGGCGGGCCGGGCGTTTCGACTGGGACTTCCTCTTCATTGATAAGCCTGAAATTAACAACTTGCAGCAGTTTCACGGATGTGGGACGGATGATTTTCAAAATGTGGCTCCCGCTTCAGCGCCGTGCACATTCGTCTTAAAAGTCGGCAGGTATTTCACGGAAGAAGGGCGGGTGGTTTTCAACATGTGATTCCCGCCTGAATGCCGCATACATTCGTGTTAAAACTCGGCAGGCATTTCACGGAAGAAGGGCGGGTGGTTTTCAACATGTGAGTCCCGCCTGAATGCCGCGTACATTCGTGTTAAAATGTTGCATGCATTTCACGTAAGGAGGGCGGTTGGTTTTCAAAATGGAGCTCCTGCCTTTGCGCAGCGCTTACAGCAGTTACAGGGATTCATATGGCTGATGCCCAGAAGCGGTGTTTTGGAAACATTTGGGGATGTCAGGGCGCGGCAATCACGTTGATTTGCGGTGCTGACGTCCCGGGAATCATGTTCTGGGACACTTCTGGATCGTCAGGACACAACAGTAACGTTGATTCGCGGCGTTGAGGTGCCAGAAATGGTGCTTCGGCGTCAATGAAGATTTTCAGGCGGTTGTCTTCGAACGGGGCAATTCCCGCAACGAACATAAATCCTTGTAGGGACCTCTGAAGTGGGAACTTGGAGGGAGGGATTATTGCAACATCGTTGATGAGTCTTGGGTTTGCACTGCTCCTCCTCTTCCTACTCGTTCAGGCGCGCCTTTCCGCAACTCCACTCCTCTGGGGGTTCCCTTCTCGTCGCTGCGGCTGGCGGGGGTCGGTGCCCGAGGAGGGGTCCGGGGGGCCGCTTCCGATCTGATGCCGGCAGGGGAGGAGCGAAACAGACGGCGGGTGCCCCGCCCCCACTTTGCGCTTTGCTCCCCATCAAAAATATGACGTGCCCGATCCACAGGAGCCTCTGGGAAACGACACCCAGAAACCTACACCGCGCAACACCGCTCAACGCCGCTCAGGCAAGGGCGCGGCGCGTGCGGTGTTGTGCGGCTGTGTTGCTCTGACCAGCTGAGGGCTATGATTTCTACGAAGCGCCTACGGGTGGGGCGAGTAAAACATAGTATTCTGACGAGCCCAGATATCCGACTTGCTGTCTTTTTTCAATGCGGATCAGCGGCACCCGGGCGGCGTCGCCAGCGCTACGGCTGCGAGCTGGCGGCGGCGTCGAGGTCGCACAGGTCGAGTGGGAACGCGTCGACGTCCTCATAATCATGGATGGGAGCGATAGAAGTATTCGGCGATCGGCCCTCGACAGCGAATCCGAACTTTCCTGGGCGGGGATGGGCCATCAGGCCCCTCATCAGCGATGACTGAGCGAATTGTGGTCGATGCATCCCCCCTGACCCTATCCCCCCTAGCGCTGCCGCTGATCACAACTTGATAAGCGTCGTCGACACGTTTGCCAGCGTGGACCTGACTTGGTATATTCTCGCGCTCTCGGTGTGCAGTCTGTGTGGTGCAAGATGTGTGTGTGTGTGTGTGGTACTAGCTGTGTGGTGTAATCTATGTAGCGCAAGCGCTGTGTCGTGCAAGCTGTGTGGTGCAGGCAACGTGATATAAGCTATGCCATGTGGTGTAAGCTATGTGGTGCAAGCTGTGTGGTGTAAGCTGCGGTGCACGCATCGCACGGCGGGACGCCCACGAGGCGGCCACAAGGCGATCCTCCTCCTCCTCCTCCTCCTCCTCCTCCTCCTCCTCCTCCTCCTCCTCTCTCGCTCTCCTCCTCCTCCTCCTCCTCCTCCTCCTCCTCCTCCTCCTCCTCCTCCTCCTCCTCCTCCTCCTCCTCCTCCTCCTCCCTGTGCGCACGAGGCGGCCACGAAGCGGCCTCGGGCGGTCACCAACTGGGCACCAGGTGAAACCCCGGCACACCCACCCAAGCACCCAAAGAAGCGAAAGAAGAACCCCTAAGTGCAACCACTGTTTGGGGAACAAGCGAAAGCTTCCGGAGGTCCGCGTGGATTCCTGGGATCGGCGCAGCAGACCTCCGAGAATTTGTGCTTGTGCCGCTTTCTCTTCCTCGAGTCCTGCTTGCCCCGCCAGTGCACGAACACGTCGCACGAGTGGAACCGCCGCCGCCGCTCCCGGTAGGCGGGGTCGGCCAGGGCCTCCTTCAGCCAGCCGTAGGTGCGCGGCGCAGCCGCGCCGCCGAGCGCGCCGTCCGGCGCACCGTCGGCAACGCCCGCCCGCGCGCGCTTTGCCGGCGGCGGCTGCGCCTCCGCACGGGCGCTGGCCGCCGCCGCACCCGAGGCCGCGGCCGCGTCGGGCGCGGCCCCAGCCGCGCTCGGCGCCGCCTCGGCGGCCGCGGTAGCGGCCCCGGCCGCGCACGGCGCCGAGGGCGCTGGCGGCCCGGCCGCGGCCTGCGGCGGCAGCGTCGAGGGCGCCGTGGCAGCGTCGAAAACACCACGAACGTATTTTGGCGCTCCGCGCGGATCCAAGAAATCTGCGCGGAGCGCCAAAGGTTTCTGCTTATGCCGATGTTCCTTCTTCGACACTCGGCCGATCATACGCCACCCGAGCTCGTGATCCGATCGCAGCCCTGACCACGATGGCTACCGCGCCAGGTTTCGGATCGATCGCGCGTTTCGGCTCGGACGATCGCGTGGTCCAGCCGAACCGATCACTGCGATCTGTGATCGCCGATCGCGTGCTCAGCAGACACTGAGGAGGCAGCGGGCGCAGGCGGCGGGGCGGGCGTGGCGCCGCCGCGGAGCTCCGGCTCTGGGGCGTCGGCGGCAGGGCCGCCGCGCTCGGGCCCGCCGGCCGCGGGTAGCTGTGCGCCGTTTAGGCGCGGGAGGGCGCGGAGCAGGTCCTTGGCCATGAGGCACTTGCAGAGGGGGGAGACCCAGCTGTCCAACTGCTGGGGCGCGCCGGCCTGCAGGCACAGCCAGCGTCGAATCGGGAAGCAGATCCGAATCAAGACTCGAGCTGTGCGTCGCATCCGGCTGCATCGGCACTGAGTCGAGAGCGAATCGGATCGGCAACGCCAGGATGCACAACACCACGACGCAGACATCGGGCCGTACAGGATCGATGGCATATCGGCACTGGATCGGATAGCGCTGACCGCAGTCGATTCGAATCGGCTCGACAGGATCGGAATGGACCCTGGCCTGCGGGCCCTTGCCGCTGGTCCCGCCGCCGAGGCTGGCCTTCTTCCCCTGCCGGTCGCACCGCAGGCCCTGCCGATGGGCCGATTTTCCATCACCACTATCATATAAGAGGGAGGAGGAGGAGGAGGATGAGGAGGAGGAGGAGGAGGAGGAGGAGGAGGGGAGGAGGAGGCGGAGGAGGAGGAGGAGGAGGAGAGGAGGAGGAGGAGGAGGAGGAGGAGGAGGAGGAGGAGGAGGAGGAGGAGGAGGAGGAGGAGGAGGAGGAGGAGGAGGAGGAGGATGAGGAGGAGGAGGAGGAGGAGAGGAGGAGGGCAGCAGGAGGAGGAGTAGGTAGGAGGAGGAAGGAGGGCATGAGGAGGAGGAGGAGGAGGGAGAGCAAGGAGGAGGAGGAGGAGGAGGAGGAGGAGAGAGGAGGAGGAGGAGGGAGGAGGAGGAGGAGGGGGAGGGGGAGGGGGAGGGGAGGGGAGGGGAGGGGGAGAGGGGAGGGGGAGGGGAGGGGGGAGGGATGAGGAGGAAGGAGGAGGAGGAGGATGAGGAGGAGGAGGAGGAGGAGGAGGAGAGGAGGAGGAGGAGGAGGAGGAGGAGGAGGAGGAGTGATGGAGGAGGAGGAGGAGGAGGAGGAGGAGGAGGAGGAGGAGGAGGAGGAGGAGGAGGAGGAGGGAGGAGGAGGAGAGGAGGAGGAGGCGGGGGAGGGGGAGGGGAGGGGAGGGGGGAGGGGGAGGGGAGGGGGAGGGGGAGGGGATGGGGGAGGAGGAGGAGGAGGAAGGAGGAGGAGGAGGAGGAGAGGAGGAGAGAGGAAGGGGAGGAGGAGGAGGAGGAGGAGGAGGAGGGAGGAGGAGGAGGAGGAGGGCGGGGACCTCCCCATCCTCCCTTCTCCCCCATCCTACCTGTGGTAGTGGCGGTGGAACATTGGCCCACGACCTGCCGCTCGCCGGTGTGGCCCATCAGCACGTCGAAGAAGCCGCCCACGCTCCGAGAGATGGACCGCTCGTGCGCGCCGCCGCCCCCGACGGCTGGGCTCCACGCGACGCTGAGGCCCACGGTGGACACCTTGGTGCCGTTGGGCTTCAGGCCGGCCCCGGACGCCTCCATAGCCTCCAGCGGCGGCGGCGGCTCCTCCGCTCCTCCTCCTCCTCCTCCTCCTCCTCCTCCTCCTCCTCCTCCGGCGGCTGCGGCGGCGGCGGCGGCGGCTCCACCTCCTCCTCCTCCTCCTCCTCCTCCTCCTCCTCCTCCTCCTCCTCCTCAGCCTCCCGCGACCAATGGAACGGCACCAGGGTGTGCCGGAAGTCGGGGCACCCCAGCCCAGTTGCAGCGGCGCCAGCGCGGCAGTAGAGCGCCTCGCGGACGAAGGGCTCGTCGAAGAGCGGGCCCCCGACAACGATGGAGGCCATGGCGACGGGCTTCGGCAGGAGCCGCGACAGCAGGGCGCCCTGCCACCCGACGTGGTTCCAGCGGCAGATCTTGTCGGAGCAGCTGTCCCGGGGGCTGCTCAGGGTGTCCCCGGCCCGAGGCGCGTCCCCGGCTTTTCGCTGCAATTTTGAGCCCCTGCAGGGCCCTCTGAGCCTCGCGAGGGGTGCCCTGGAGGCCGTGGGGGCGTCCCTGGAGCTCCTGGGGACACCTTGGGCCATGGGACACCTCGGGCAACGCCCGCGCTGTAGCAGACGGAGCGCGACTCCTGCTTGGTGTCGCTGCGCCCAGACTTGTACCTGAGGGGGGATGTCAAGGGGGGACCTTGGAGTACCATGTGGGACCTGCTCTAGAACAGGAGCATACCGTAGGCGGATCTACCCTTCCTCCGACCTTGCACCGCGCCGAACGCAACGGCCACGTTGTCCATAGACGTTTTCACCCTGAAAGTGTCCATGGACGTCACAGCATCCAATGTGTCCGTAGTCGATTGTGGCTAGGACGTGAGAACGGTATTTGGCATCGGCCCCAGATGTCGGTCTTCTAGAAGCAGGTAGGCTTGGCCCTCCAAGAGGGACCGGCTCAGGGGGGGAAACATCGACCTGGAGTCGGCGATGCATCGCCGATAGATCGGCAACGGGCCCAAGATGGCGAAACCGCGACCTCCCAGGCGGGGTGGGCTATCGTGACCCTGTCGGCGATGAATTGGCGATTGAGGGTCAAAATGCCCACTCCTCTCTCCCGAAAGCCCCGAGGTCGCAGCCTGCCACCCTCCGCGTATTGCTTTTCTCTTGGGAGACTCCTAACATGGTCGATCCTATGTATTTTTCCCACTCTGGACGTCTTCGGTGTTTTCAGAATGCCGCTCCCGCTACAACGCTGGCTCCATGTTCTGGCTCGCGGTCCTTCCAAATCACACTCCCGCTGCATTGCTGACCGCATTTCTTTGTTGCGGATCTTCCAAAACGTGTTCCCGCTACAGCGTTGGCTCTCATTTTACGCTTCCGCTCTTTCCGAACCGTCCCTTTACATTTTTCGTCTTGTGTCATGTCTGCTTTCCCTCAGAACCTGTTGTCTAAATGAATCGTGCTCTCGACGAGCGCTGGCTCGCCTTTTAGGTTCCCGTTGTTTCCTCACCGTCCATTTACATTTCCCGTCCTGCGTCATGTCTGGTTTCCCTCAGAACCTGTTGTCGAACAAGAATCGTGCTCTCGACCCGACGACGCTCTGCCGTGCTCTTCTACGCCGTGGTACGACGTGGGCTACCATGCATCTCGTACCCCTTCGGGTCATTGCCCTGCTCGACATCCGACTGTGGGAATTCAGAGAGGACATCTACGCCATGGTAAGGGAGGGGAGGGAGGGGTAGGACGTCATCTAAGACGCTTGCGCACCTAGCTTGGCCTATCCCCTCTGTCGATGCCCCCGGTTATCGGGTCATAAGCCAGCTTTCTGGCGGCTGTTCGGGACCATCCGGGCACCCCGGGAACGCTCTCGGCGAGCCGCAGCTGCACGGGAGCATCCCGAGGCTGGAAAGCCGCCGACAACCAACGAAGACGCCCAAAAATCTCAAACCGAAAACCCTATCCTGCCTCAGCGTTGCTCGTTAGCGAAAGACATATCCGTATCCTCAGCCTCGCGAGCCCCTTGGGGGCGCGATCCCGCGGATCCGAAACGTTTTTATCGCAGATGCCACGCGCGGAACGTATCCGTGCGACCGCGCATCCACGGGATCGCGCCCCAGAATCCAGACCGCGAGGGCGCGGATGCGGATATTTCGGGGGCGGGCAAACACGGATTAGCGATCCATGGATCTGGCGCGCGGTCGCCAAATCAATGGATCGGGGGAGGTGCCCTCCCCAAAATGCGGCCGGCGCCGCCTCTTCCGGCGGCGGAAATCCGCGATTTGCCGTGGAAACGGGACCCGTCGCTAATCCACGCCCCCTGATCCATGTTTGCAATCGCCTGAATATTGTCGCCGCTCGTGAGTTGCCCCCGAGTGCCGCAGGATGCCCCGGAGGTGGAAGTCCCCGCCCGCCGCGCGTGGGTCCTGTGGCATGCCGCTCGCTGGCTTGGCGCCCGTGCGGTTGCTGTCGACCAGCGGCGCGGCGCCCGGCGCGGCCGCCTCGCTGGCTGGAGGAACGACAACGCGGCAGAAGCCTACGGCCGGGACCTGGGGTCTCGACTTCCAGGGGCCTTGCACTGAAAAAATCAACGAATGCCGGGTATGTATTAGGGGAAAAAGAAGAATGACACATACATAAAAATCGGAGGTCCGTGCGGATTTCTCGGATCCGCGCTGGACCTCCCTGGCGGCGCCTCCGGCGCCGCCCCTGGCGCGCTCCGCGCGCCAGGGAGGGGGTTCCAGCGCCGATCCTAGAAATCCGCGCGGGCCTCAGAGTTTTTATGTTTATGTCAGAGTTGCAGTGGGAGCAGAGAGTCGCCAAGCAAGCGCGAAAGGCCACGGCCAAGCGGCAGTCGGCAAGCACTCGTGCAATATACGGTCGGGACCTTTTGCTCTCAGCGCGTCGCGGTGGCGGCCCTGGGCGACACGCTGTGCCGTGCGAGCTGACAGCGTGTCGCTCCGCTCCGCTCCGCGGGGTGGGAGGATCGGGGTAAGCTCAGGACGTGCGAACATCGTTTAACCGATCCACGTTCCCACCAGCGTGGGCCGGACCCCACTGGCCGATGGACCCCCCTGATGGAGATATAGGCTGCTCTCTTCGGGCTTCGGGGGGCATATCCCTAGCTGAGGCGGTGAGACGGTGGGGCTCGAGATGTCGCTCGTACCCAGAGGGAGTCCACACGGGGTCATTAGAGGCCTACTCGGGCACCCTTGTAAGCTCCACGAGAGCAAACGCCGCATGTTCCGCCCACCCCTCCACATTGTGGCTGGCGGCTGGAGCACACTCGTAGTGTCAAACATGTGATGTGCCGTCACGATGGCTTCCACGATCTCCAAAGTAAAAGCACCCCCGAGACCAATCCTGGTGCACAAACGTAGGCGGGGCTCGAGATGTGGATGGGGCTGGGGCTGGGGATCGCTTCAACGATACGGGACGTGGACGCCCGGGGACTGCGGGCGTGGCCAGCGCGCCGCGCGCCGACGCGTCTGGTGGGCGTCGGAGCCGGCGGAGCGACACGCGGAGCACGGGTTCTCCCGACCACGGGCTCTTTCGGAGGTCCGCGCGGATTTCCTGGGTCGGCGCGGCATTCACAGATCCTCGCGCCGACATGCTCCTGGCCTCGGCTTCGGTCATTCGCCTGGCTTTCTGCCTCGGGTTCTGCCTCCCTCCCCCAGTGGCTTCGTGCTGCGCTCGCTCGCCTCGCTCCCCAATCGGCTTCGCCTGGCCTGGGCCCTGTCTCGGCACACCTGACATGCCTTGGTGGTGCCCCTCCCCCCGCTGGCGCGCGGAGCGCGCCAGGGGCAGCGCCAGCCACCAGGTGGGTCCGGCGACGATCCAAGAAAGCCGCGCGGGGCTCTGAAAGCTTACCTTTGTGCAGCCCGTTCTTCCTCCGCCGTCATCGCTCGGCTGCGCACCGCGAGGCCCCGGAGCGGCGCGCTCCCCGGCGCGCGGAGCGCGCCAGGGGCGGCGGCGGAGGTGCCGCCAGAGGGCTCCAGCGCACATGCGGCCCCCTGCCCTGCTCTCGATCGCGGCCTTCGCAGGCATCGCCCCTGCAGGCCCCGGAAGGCTGGCGCCCGGCACGCCACCGCCACAGGCCTCATGGGGGCAGAGGAGCACCCAGAGGCCCTCCGGGGCTCGCAGCGCGGATGGCCACGGAGCCCGCGCGGAGAGCGCGCGGCGGGCCTGGACGTGCTCGACGGCGGCCCCCGTGCGTCGGGGCGGGGGGGCGGAGAGAGCCTGCCGAGGGCTCAGGGGCCCCCCTCCTTGGGCCCGAGGCCTGGCCGAGGGCGACGCGGGCCCCTGGCACGCCGACCACGGCAGCCCCCCCCCCCTTCCCCCGCCCCCCTGTTCGGTCTCCTATTGGCGGCGCGCACGAGGGGGGGGGGGGGGGGGAGGGCTTCTTGGACGGGGGCTGCTTCTGAGAGGGCGCCAGCCTCACATCTATGGATGAGGCCCGCGCTCTCTAAGGAACAGGGGTGCTTCTGAAAAACCCTCCCCCCTCCCCCCACCCGTCGCTGATACCCTCCCCCAGGATCAGCCACGCGCAGAGAGGGGGGGAAGGGGGAGGGCTTCTAAGAAGCAGGGGTGCTTCTGAGAAGCCCTCCCCCCTCCCCCCCTCTCTGCGCGTGGCTGATCCTAAGTCGCCCGAGAATTTGGCCAGCGGGGACGTCGCAGTGGACGGCGTGCCGCGCCGAAGCGCAGGCGCCACGGCATTGCATGCGAGGATCCCCCCCCCCCCCCGCAAACGTGCAGCTATGCAGCAAACGCGGGGGCAACATGGCCATGGCCAGGGCACTCCACTGGTGGGGAAACCTGGCCAACACTCAACATCCAAATCTGGCGGAGCGACACTCCTGAAGCCAAAGCGTTCCCGACCGCACGCTTGTGAAGCTGCTGCTTCTTTTACGTCGGGCATGTCCTCCTACCGGCGGACTTTGGAGGAACACATGACAAATTCGCCGGCCCAACGGGCCAGAGGCGTGCTAAGATCTCCGGTAGCTGCTCAACAATATTTCTAGTTCGCGCGCGCGGGGCGGGCCCGGGGGGTCCCCGGACGAAAAGTACCCCGGCAAGGTCCCGGCAGACTCCCGACAAGGTCCCGGCAGACTCCCGGCAGACTCCCGGCAGCCTCCCGGCAAGGTCCCTTTTCGGAGCCCAGGAGGGTTCCAAACGGTCCAAGAGAGGCCCGAGAAGCCTTCCAGACGGTCCGAGAAAGCGGGGAGACGCCGAAATATCACCCCCAAGCGCCTGCGATGGCCTCAAGACGGCCCAACAGGCCTTCAAGACGCCCCAAGAGGTCCCTAAGCGGCGCCCCAAGAGGGCTCCCACAAGCAAAAATCGTCCCATTCCCTCAGGAAAGCGTGCATTTTTAACATATCCGCCCCTTCGTCTTTCACACCTGTCAAGGCGGTCCAAGAGGCTCCCAAGATCACCCCAAGACGGCCCGAGAGACCCTCAAGACCGCTCAAAGACGGCCCAAGAGCGCTCCAAGAAGGCCCAAGAAACCCTCAAGAACTCTTTTTCGGAGCCCAGGAGGGCTCCAAATCGGTCCAAGAGGGGCCCGAGAAGCCCTCCAGACGGTCCAAGAGAGCCGGGATACGCCGAAATATCACTCCCAAGCGCCTACGATGGCCTCAAAACGGCCCAACAGGCCTTGAAGACGCCCCAAGAGGTCCCTAAGAGGCCCCTGAGCGGCGTCCCAAGAGGGCCCCCACAAGCAAAAATCGTCCCATTCCCTTGGGAAAGCGTGCATTTTTAACATATCCGCCTCTTTGTCTTTCACACCTTTCAAGGCGGCCCAAGAGGCCCCCAAAATCACCCCAAGACGGCCCGAGAGACCCTCAAGACCGCTCAAAGACGGCCCAAGAGCGCTCCAAGAAGGCCTAAGACACCCTCAAGAACTCTCTTTCGGAGCCCAGGAGGGCTCCAAATCGGTCCAAGAGGGGCCCGAGAAGCCCTCAAGACGGTCCAAGAGAGCCGGGAGACGCCTCAAGACGGCCCAACAGGCCTTCAAGACGCCCCAAGAGGTCCCTAAGCGGCGTCCCAAGAGGGCTCCCGCAAGCAAAAATCGTCCCATTCCCTCAGGAAGGCGTGCATTTTTAACATATCCGCCCCTTCGTCTTTCATACCTTTCAAGGCGGTCCAAGAAACCCCCAAGATCACCCCAAGACGGCCCGAGAGACCCTCAAGACCGCTCAAAGACGGCCCAAGAGCGCTCCAAGAAGGCCCAAGAAACCTTCAAGACGGTCCAAGAGGCCCCCAAACGGCCCCATGATTGAGGTCCACAAGGGGCAACCTGAACGGAAATTTTGAGCCCCCCGCCCAAACGCGCCCCCGAAAAAAGGCCCCTGCAAGCCCCCAGGTGGCCCCGCGAAGCCCCCGAGAGAGCCCCAAAAAGGCCCCCAACAGGCCGCAAGAAAGCCCCGAGAGGTCCCCAAGAGACCCCCAGGAAGCTCCCAGGAGGCCCCCAAGAGGCCAGGCACCCCCCCCAAGAGACCACCAAGAGGGCCCACCCAGAGCCATCCACGAGGCCTCCCAAAGTTCCCAAGAAGCTCCCACGAAGCTTCCAAGGGCTCCCAAGACCCCACGAGGCCTCCAAGAGCTCCCAAGAAGCTTTCCGGAAGCCTCCAAGGGCTCCCAAGAGGGTCACAAGTACTCCTCCTGAGAAGCTCCTTGATGCTCCCAGAAGAGACTCCCAGAAGCATCCATGAGCTCTCCGAGATGCCCCCTCCCCAGATCCCCAACACTCAGTTTTTCTCGCGTCCCTCACCCTTGGATCCTTCACTGCGTTTTCCTCCAATTTCGATTGGATGAGGATGAGCTTGGGATGGTCCTGGAAATGTGTGGGGGGCTCTGGAGGTCAGCGTGAATTCTGAGAGGTTGTCGGTTGCGTGTCTTCTGCAAACGCAACCAACAATACGAATAATGGAAAGACATCGCATACATCGCCGATCCCCAAACGGCCCACATGTGTATGCATTCGGCAACGTGTATGATGTGGGATGTCAAACACGACTGGCTGGCCCCATCCTCCTCGAAGTGGTCGCCCTCATCATCCTCCGCCTCCACCTCCTTCTATCCGTCCCTCCGTCCCTCATATCCCTGCCCCACCTCCCTCTCCTCCATTTTCTCCTCTTCCTCCTTATATTTCCTCCCAAAGTGGGGTGGGGCGGACCGCGGGCGAACCTTCATGAACCCCGACAACGTGCAGGAATCCCTGCAGAGCTCCGATGGGGGAGGAGGAGGAGGAGGAGGGGGCGCAGGAGGAGGAGGAGGAGCAACGGCAGCAGCAGCAGCAGCAGCAACAGAACGGCCCACGAGACGCCCAAACGGCCCAAGAGAGCCCCAAGAGGGCCCCAAGAGGGACCCAAGAGAGGGAACACGAACCGACAATTCGAGACTTCCGCCCCGAGCAGCCCCCATGAGGCCCTAAGAGGCCTGCAAGAGACCCCAAAAGGCATAAAAAGAAGCCCCAAGAACCCCCCCGACGGCCCCCAAGAGCCCTCAAAACTGCCTCCAAAGAAACCCTCGAAAGGCCTGCCACGATATCTCAACGAACATCCAAGAGGCCTCTGACCTACAACCCAGGCACGGTGGCGGGATGGGCCGAAAACCACTAGATCCGCCGCCCCCTGCTTGCAGGGGTGCACGGCGTGCTGGATGATTTAGGTTTTGTTTTGGTTCTTTTTCTAAAAGAACTCCCCAGTGGGCTTCGGCCCGTCCCGCCGGCCACCCGCAAATTGCCGAAAACCCATCCCTCAATGCCCAAAAGCGGCCGTTTCGCTCGGGACATCCTCAAAACATCGCGACGATGGCCCAAGATGGCCTCCAAGTCCGCCCGAGATGGTCCAAGACGGCCTCCAAAACGGCCCAAGAGAGTCCAAGACGGCCCAAGACGGCCCAAGAGGCCCCCCAGAGGCCTCCCAGACGGCCCAAGAGGCCTCCAAGAGGTCCTCCAGGAGAGTCCGAAGAGGCCAAAATCATTGATTTTTCCTTGGTTTTTGAAGGATTTTGGCATTTGCGCCTTTTCGGCTCTCCGACGGCTCAAGACGGCCCAAGAAGCCCCCAAGATCGCCCAAGAGGCCCCCAAGAGAGCCCCATGATGGCCCAAGTGGCCTCCAAGATGGCCCCTAGAGGGCCCCAAGAGGGCCCAAGAGGCCTCCAACACGCCCAAGATGGCCTCCCAGACGCCCAAGATGGCCTCCAAGACGGCCCTGGAGCATTCCAAGCGGGCCCCAAGTCGGCCCATAGAGGCCCCCCAAACGGCTTCCGACGGCTTCAGACGTGCCAGGAACCCACCAAGATGGCCGAAGTTGGCTCGAAGCTGGCCCGAGACGGCCCAAAAAGCCCCAAAGATCGCCCAAAGCTTGCCCAAGAGGCCTCCAAGACGGCCAAGATGACCTTCAAGATGCCCACGTGTTCCCCGAAGGCTTTCCAAACCGATTCGGGGAACACGTGGTCCGATAGCTTGGCAGGTCTGGCCTCAACGTTCGGCCACATAGGCGCTTCCAAAAAGGCAGGGGGCGGCGGTGATTCGCCGTAGGCGTCTTCGATCCGCCGCCCCCTGCTTGCAGGGGTGCACGGCGTGCTGGACGTTTCAGGTTTTGGTTTTGGTTCTTTTTCTAAAAGAACTCCCCAGTGGGCTTCGGCCCGTCCCGCCGGCCACCCGCGAATTTCCCAAAATCCATCTGTCAATGCCCAAAAACGGCCGTTTCGCTCGGGACATCATCAAAAAATCGCGAAGATGGCCCAAGATGGCCTCCAAGTCCGCCCGAGATGGTCCAAGACGGCCTCCAAAACGGCCCAAGAGAGTCCAAGACGGCCCAAGACGGCCCAAGAGGCCCCCCAGAGGCCTCCCAGACGGCCCAAGAGGCCTCCAAGAGGTCCTCCAGGAGAGTCCGAAGAGGCCAAAATCATTGATTTTCCCTTGGTTTTTGAAGGATTTTGGCATTTGCGCCTTTTCGGCTCTCCGACGGCTCAAGACGGCCCAAGAAGCCCCCAAGATCGCCCAAGAGGCCCCCAAGAGAGCCCCATGATGGCCCAAGTGGCCTCCAAGATGGCCCCTAGAGGGCCCCAAGAGGGCCCAAGAGGCCTCCAACACGCCCAAGATGGCCTCCAAGACGCCCAAGATGGCCTCCAAGACGGCCCTGGAGCATTCCAAGCGGGCCCCAAGTCGGCCCATAGAGGCCCCCCAAACGGCTTCCGACGGCTTCAGACGTGCCAGGAACCCACCAAGATGGCCGAAGTTGGCTCGAAGCTGGCCCGAGACGGCCCAAAAAGCCCCAAAGATCGCCCAACCCAAGAGGCCTCCAAGACGGCCAAGATGACCTTCAAGATGCCCACGTGTTCCCCGAAGGCTTTCCAAACCGATTCGGGGAACACATGGTCCGATAGCTTGGCAGGTCTGGCCTCAACGTTCGGCCACATAGGCGCTTCCAAAAAGGCAGGGGGCGGCGGTGATTCGCCGTAGGCGTCTTCGATCCGCCGCCCCCTGCTTGCAGGGGTGCACGGCGTGCTGGACGTTTCAGGTTTTGGTTTTAGTTCTTTTTCTAAAAGAACTCCCCAGTGGGCTTCGGCCCGTCCCGCCGGCCACCCGCAAGTTTCCGAAAATCCGTCTGTCAATGCCTTTGTTGCCCCAACTTGGCCCAAGATGGCCTCCGAGACGGCCAAGATGGCCCAAAATGGCCTCCAAGATGCCTCCCAGACGGCCAAGATGGCCTCCAAGACGGGCAAGATGGCTCCAAGATGCCTCCGAGACGGCCCAAGATGCCCTCCAAGACGGCCAAGATGGCCCCAAGATGCCTCCAAGATGGCCCAAGAGGCCTCCAAGACGTTCTCCAGGAGAGCCCGAAGAGGCCAAAACCATTGGTTTTCCTTTGGTTTTTGAAGGATTTTGGCATTTGCGCCTTTTCGGCTCTCCGACGGCTCAAGACGGCCCAAGAAACCCCCAAGATCGCCCAAGAGGCCCCCAAGAGAGCCTCATGATGGCCCAAGTGGCTTCCAAGATGGCCCCTAGAGGGCCCCAAGACGGCCCAAGATGCCCTCCAAAACGGCCAAGATGGCCCCAAGATGCCTCCAAGATGGCCCAAGAGGCCTCCAAGACGTTCTCCAGGAGAGCCCGAAAAGGCCAAAATCATTGGTTTTCCTAAGGTTTTTGAAGGTTGTTTTGCGTTTTCTTCTTTTCGGCCTTCCGACGGCCCAAGACGCCCCCAAGATCGCCCAAGAGGCCTCCAAAAAGGCCCTATGACGGCCCAAGGGCCCCCCAAGACGGCCCCAAGAGCGCCCCAAGACGGCCCAAGCGGCCTCCAAGACGCCCAACGTGGCCTGCAAGACGGCCCTGAAGCGCCCCAAGAGGGCCCCAAGACGGCCCAGAGAGGCCCCCAAGACGGCTCCAGACGGCGTCAGACGGACCAGGAACGCCCTAAGACGGCCAAAGAGACCCCCAGGAAGCCCCCAAAGGCCCCCAAGAGGCCCAAGGAGGCCCCCAAGATGCCTCCAAGAGGCCTCGAAGAGGCCCCCAAGAAGCCCCCAACAGACCCCAAGGGTGCCCCAAGAGACTCCTAACAACCCTCATCCTCCTACTCTATTTCTTCCTCTTCCTCTTCCTGTTCATAATCATTCTCTCCCATGTGTTCCCCGAAAGCTTTCCAAACCGACTCGGGGAACTCATGGTCCGATAGCTTGGCCAAGCTCTAGTCCAACTTTCGGCCACATCGGCGTTTCCAAAAAGGCAGGGGGCGGCGGTGATTCGCCGTAGGCGTCTTCGATAGCCACCTCGTAAGACAGTAGAGGCCTAAGCCCCCGCAACAAGCACCAAACAAACTGCTTCATCCCCATGCGTTCTGCCGCAACGCCTCTGGAAAACGACCACGGCCCACCAGCGCCGCCTGGCTCGCGACCGCGCAAGCAAACGCCCGCGATGGCACAAGACGGGCCGGCGGAATGAGCGAAGTGATTCAATAGTCAAAGAACAATTCAAGCATAATCAAAACATGATCGAACAATCGTCCCCATACTATTTTGTGGCTAGTTTTGAACAGTCCTCCTGTAAAGGGACATGCCCGACTTAAATGTTGCCTCCTCGAGCCTCCTGCGCTGGGCCGGCGGGGCCGCCCTGCTGCCGCAGCCACTTCCGCGCCAGCGTGCCCTCGGAGGTGCTGCTGATGGTGATGGGCCCATGTGCCACCACCACTGCCATAGGAGGAGGAGGAGGAGGAGGAGGAGGAGGAGGAGGAGGAGGAGGAGGAGGAGGAGGAGGAGGGAGGAGGAGGAGGAGGAGGAGGAGGGAGGAGGAGGAGGAGGAGGAGGAGAGGAGGAGGAGGAGGAGGAAGAGGAGGGGGAAGAGGACGGGGGGGAGGAGGAGGAGGATGAGGAGGAGGGAGGGGGAGGAGGATGAGGAGGAGATGGAGGGAGATGGAGGAGGAGGAGGAGGAGGAGGAGGAGGAGCAGGAAGAGGAGGAGGAGGAGGAGAGGAGGAGGAGGAGGAGAGGAGGAGGAGGAGGAGGAGGAGAGGAGGAAGAGGAGGGGGAAGAGGACGGGGAGGAGGAGGAGGAGGAGGAGGAGGAGGAGGAGGAGGAGGAGGAGGAGGAGAAGGAGGAGGACCTCCTCATCCTTCCGTCAACCCCGTCCTACATATGGTAGTGGTGGTGGAAAATTTGCCCATCAGATGGGCACCAGCGCGGCCTCGCCGCAGGGCAGAGCGCTGACGTAGAAGTGCAGCCGCAGGCCGCTCCGCAGCTCCCATGAGCGCCCCTCGCCCGGCGCCCGCGCGAGTACCCGCTCGCCGCCGGCGTCGTCTTCCCCTCGTGAGCATCGTGCCAAGAGAGCCGAAGCTCCGACAACAAAAATTGGAGCGGCCTGGCTTGGGTTCCAGGGGCCGCGACGGGCCCGAGGGCCGGCAAACAACGGCTCAGGACGAAGAGCTGGCCCTAGGGAAGTGGTCCAGACCTCTGGGGGTCCGCGCATCGAACAAATTGGAGCGCCTGACGTCTGGGTTTAGGCGATGCCTATTTATACTGTGTGGCCTTGGCCCCACTGGCCGAATTACCCACCCAAGTGGGGATCCATCCGTACATATAGACACGTATAAAAGGTATGCACATAAATGTAGATGCATGCGCGTAAATGCATATATATATATATATATATATATATAGGTATGTATGTATATATTTATATATATATAGATGTGTATACATATGTGCCGTTACAGTAAAGCAGGTTGATCTCATCATTCAAAACACATAGTGTTTGGCACCGCTACTTTATAATTTAATCTACATCATAATCAGTGACATATTATGTTGTATGATGGTACTTGTTCTACATTATACTTGCTTATAGTGTAGTATACATGAATATTTTACACTACCTGATACTGCTTTGTACTCATCGTGTATATATACATATATATGTTAGTATATTACATGGTTTAAATTCAAGCCAATGCAGTTCTAGTTTGGTCTATCGTATCATATTATATCGGGCTATCTTACATTGACCACATCATAACGCATAAAGTTGGGATACTTCATATGGTCGTATAGCACATCATAAATGTACTTAGCTGTCCAATGATATCCTCGTACATTGCATTATAACTGATTGAGCTAGTCTGTAGGGACATATATTATACAACCGTATATTGTATCATATTGCTCACACCGTATAGTGTATTACATTGTAACACATTCTATACGGCCAAATTATACAGCATTGCATTGTGTCAACTTATATAACAGTAGCATGCACTGTTATACTAGGTTGTACCATGTTATTGATGTTCTTGTATTGCCTATGCTGTATAGTGGCTGGTGTTCCATGGTATCATATAAAAATACATTGCATTTTCATACATACATGCGTATTTGTGTATATGTCGATATATGCATATTTAAATGTAAACCATTATTATTATTATTATTATTATTTATAGATCATGAACGTGTACCGAATTCCACAATGTTATAGTATCATGAATTGTAGTCTGATGCGCTTCATGTTTCTATATCATATTATGTGGTCTACTCATACATTCTAATCTAATATAGCCTGACCTACGATATTCTATCAAAATCGCGCGTCGCAAACATATAAACACACATGGGTTCGCAACGCGGCTTTTCAGAACAACGTTTGCGCGCGCTTCTGCAAATCCGTAAGGAAACCATAGGTTTTCAGCATTCTCAGAAAATGCTACCAAACAGGCTTCGCGCGCGCATGTCGAAACCGTTCGAACGCCCTTGCGAGAACCATTTGCACAACATATGACGAAGTGAACGCGCGCGCGTCGTCGTGCGCACATGCCGAAATACGTCAACAACCTTCGGTTTCGTAGCAACATCACAACCAAATGTCAAAATAACACATAACGCATGGCTTCGTACTACCAGTTTTCAAAAAAAAAAGTGCGAATTCGTAAAGAAACTACATGTTTTCAACACGTTCATGAAATTCTGCCACGCGCCGCGTGCCGACATCATTCGCACGCCCTTGCGCGCGCTGGGGGGGGGACGCGATCCGTGTCAAATTTTACCATGCGGACCAATCTCTCGCGTCGGCCACGCGCGCATGTTGACTTCTTTTCAAAACCTTCATCTCCGACGCGAGGACGCCGTCATTGTTTTCGGCGTGGTCAGCATCGGCGCCCGCACTGCCCGGGCGTCGTTGTCAACATCGTCACCCGCATCGCTACTATCATCATCGTGTCTACCGTCGTCGACGTTGCCATGATCCCGCGCCCGCCCAAGTCGCCGACTCGCACTGAAGTGCCCGCTGGGATGTGACCAGCGGTCAGCGCCACAGCGGCCACGTCGGTCGTGCCTATCTAGCTGGCCGGTGCGCGCGCGTGCTTGGGTTGGCGTGGGCGCAGAGATGGACCAGCCAACGTCAAGCACTAGTCGCAATCGCCACCGCATGTGTTTTGCGAACCAAATTGCGGGTGGGTGGGCGGGATGATTGCGCGAGCAGTGGAGTTGACAACTCACTGCGAACTGAAATTATTTATGGTATACTATCTTACAGTAGTTGCTATTATACTATATGAAATCGAAGTGGAACGGAACCCCCCACCGGGAAATCAGTGCCGTGCGTGCGGGCGAGGCGAAGATGCGTGGGCGGGCGAGAGGAAAGTCCCCTGTGGCTGAGACGCGGCCGGACCAAATGATTCTCCCTCCGGCAAGCGGTGGCCCGCGGTGTCTTGCTTGTGGCTGGGCCCCGGCCGGACCAAATAATTCTCCCTCCGGCAAGCGGTGGCCCGCGGTGTCCCGCCGGTGTCTCGGTGTCCCGCTGGTGCGAAAACGATAGTGAGACCGATGTCGGAATCGATTGTGAAATCGATAGTGAGATCGATAGTGGGACTGTTAGTGAGATCGATCGTGAGATCGATAGTGATATCGATTGTTTGATGAATAGCGATATCGCTTGTGAGATCGAGTGGTATCGATCGGGAGATCGTTAGTGGGATCGATAGCGAGATCCACAGTGATATCGGCAGTGAAATCGATCGAGTGAGATCGATCGTGAGATCGATCGAGTGAGATCGATAGCGGGATCGATGGTCCCATCGATCGTGAAACCGATAACTACATCGCTTGTGAGATCGATAGAGCGATCGACATTGAGGTCGATGGTGAGATCGATCGTGAGACCGATAACGACATCGCTTGTGATACCGATAGAGAGATCGATGGTGAGATCGATTGAGTGGGATCGATAATGAGATCGATCGTGAGATCGATCGAGTGAGATCGATTGTGGAAGCGATTCTGGGGTCCATTGTGAGATCGATTGTGCAACGCAACAATCACCACTGTTGCCCGTTGCTGCCCCCCCTCCCCCCCAAACCTCCTTATCACCCGCAGGGTGGTCGTATAGGTCTGTAACCATCAGCCAACGTGCCGCTGGACACGGACTGGGCGTGTCCTCAGGTCCTGGGCCCAGTCCTCTAAGCCTCAACCCTCGCTCCTGAGGAGTCTTCCAAAGGGCCCTGGCCCCACAAGCACAAATCTCCTGGGGCTTGCCGCGTGACCCCTGGGGCTTCCCGCGTGCCACCTGGGCTTTGCCAAATGGCGGCGCGTGAATTTTTTGGGGTCCAAGAAGGCCCCAAGACGGGCCAAGAAGGCCCTAAGCGGCCTCCAAGAAGGCCCCGAGACGCCCAAACATCGGCCCAAGAGGCCTCCAAGACGCCCCAAGCGGCTTCCAAGGGGCCTCCCAAGAGGGCCTCAAGAGGCACAAATCATTGACTTCCAACAAGTGTTTGAAGGATTTTAACGTTCTCGTCTTTTCCGCTCTGCGACGCTCCAAGTCGGCCCAAGAGACCCCAAAAAACAACCTCAAACGGCCCAGAGGCCTCCCAAGGGGCCCCAAGACGGCCTAAGAGCGCCCCAAGGCGGCCCAAGAGGCGCCCAAGACGGCCCAAGAGGGCACCAAGACAGCCCCAAAAGAGGCCCAGGAGAGGGAGCACCAATCGAAAATCTGAGCCTTCCGCCCCAAGAGGTTTCCAGGAGGCCCAAGGAGGCGCCCAGGAGGCCCCAAGAGACCCCGCAGAGGTCTCCAAACAGCTTTCAGGAGGCTTCCAAACTGCCTCCAAGAGGCCCCCGAGACTCATCCCACGAGATCCCAACGAACATCCAATTGGCTTCATACCCACAACCCGGGCACGGTGGCGGGATGGGCCGCAGGCCATTAGTAATATCCGCCGCCCCCTGTTGCTTGCAAGAGGGGTGCCTGGCGTGCCGAATCCAATCGTATTTGGTTTTGGTTCTTTTTCCAAAAGAGCTCCCCCTGGGGCTCCGGCGCGTCCCGCCAGCCACACGAAAGGATGCCGACAATTTGCTCGGACCCGGCTCCAAAGGGTTTTTCCTGGTCCAGACGGCTCCACGACGGCCCAAGATGGCCTCTAAGATGCATCCCAGACGGCCAAGATGGCCTCCAAGACGGCTAAGACGGCCCCAAGATGCCTCCAAGACGGCCCAAGATGTACCCAAGATGGCGTAAGATAGCCTCAAGATGGCCCAAGACGGCCCAAGAGGCCTCAATACGGCCCAAGAGGCCTCCGAGAGGTGCTCCAGGAGGGCCCGCAGAGGCCAAAATCATAATTTTTGCTTGGGTTTTTGAAGGATTTGGGCATTTGCCTCTTCTCGGCATTCCGACGGCTCAAGACGGCCCAAGAGGCCGCCAAGAGCGCCCCACCATCGCCCACGAGGCCTCCAAGAGGGCCCCATGACGGCCCAAGAGGCTCCCAAGACGGCCCCAAAAGGGCCCCAAGACGGCCAAGAGGCCTCCAAGACGCCCAAGATGGCCTCCAAGACGGCCCCGAAGCGCCCCACGAAGGCCCCAAGCCGGTTCGGAGAGGCCCCCAAGACGGCTCCCGACGGCGTCAGACGGGCCAGGAGCCCACCAAGATGGCCAGGAGCCCACCAAGATGGCCGAAGTTGGCTCGAAGCTGGCCCGAGAGGCCTCCAAGAGGGCCTCCAGAAAGGCCCGAAAAGGCCGAACACATATTAATTTCTCATAGATTTTTGAAGGATTGTGGCATTTGCTTCTTTTCGGCCTTCCGACGGCCCGAGACGGCCCAAGTGCCCCCAAAGGTCGCCCAAGAGGCCTCCAAGTTGGCCCCAGAACGGCCCAAGAGGCCCCCAATACGGCCCTAAGAGGCCCCCAAGACGGCCAAGGAGGCCTTTCAGACGCCCAAGATGGCCTCCAAGACGGCCCCGGAGCATTCCAAGAGGGCCCCAAGTCGGCCCAAAGAGGCCCCCCAAACGGCTTTCGACGGCGTCAGACGGGCCAGGAGCCCACCAAAACGGCCGAAGATGGCCCTAAGATGGCCCAAGACGGCCCAAGAAGCCTCCAAGAGGGCCTTCAGGAAGGCCCGACATGCGAGTTTTGAAGGATTGTGCCATTTGTTTTTTTTCGGCCTTCCGACGGCCCGAGACGGCCCAAGTGCCCCCACAGATCGCCCAAGACGGCCCCAAGAGGCCCCCAAGACGGCCCAAGAGGCCTCCAAAACAATCAAGATGGCCTCAAAGACGGCCCAAGAGCCCTCCAAGACTTCCTCCAAGAAGGCTCGAAAGGGTCAAAATGGCCTCCCGACGGCCAAGATGACCTTCAAGATGCCCACGTGTTCCCCGAAGGCTGTCCAAACCGATTCGGGGAACACATGGTCCGATAGCTTGACAGGTCTGGCCTCAACGTTCGGCCACATAGGCGCTTCCAAAAAGGCAGGGGGCGGCGGTGATTCCCCGTAGGCGTCTTCGATCCGCCGCCCCCTGTTGGCTTGCAACAGGGGTGCCTGGCGTGCTAAACCCTCTCGATTTTTTCTTCTCCCAAACAGAACCCCCCTGGGGCTTCGGCCCGTCCCGCCGGCCACCCGGAAAGGAGCTCAATTGCGGAAAAATCTTCCAAGACAGCTCAAGATGGCCTCCATGATGACCACGTTGGCCCAAGATGGCCTCCAAGATGGTCCAAGATGGCCTCCAAGACTGCTCAGGAGAGGAGAAGATGCCTCCAAGTCCGCCCAAGAACCCTCTAAGACGGCCCAAGAGGTGCCCAAGAGGCCTCCAAGAGGTCCTCCAGGAGGGCCCGAAGAGGCCAAAATCATTAATTGTCCTTTGGTTTTTGAAGGTTTTTTTCGGCTTTCCGACGACCCAAGACTGCCCAAGAGGCCCCCAAGATCGCCCCCACAGCGCCCAAGAGGCCTCCAAGATGGCCTCAGGACTGCCCAAGAGGCCTCCAAGACGGCCCCAAGAGGGCACAAAGACGACCCAAGAGGCCTCCAAGACGCCCGAGATGGCCTTTAAGAGGGCCCAGGAGCACCCCAAGAGGGCCCCAAATCGGCCCAGAGAGGCCCCCCAAACGGCTTCCGACGGCGTCAGACGGGCCAGGAGCCCACCAAGATGGCCGAAGTTGGCTCGAAGCTGGCCCAAGACGGCCCAAGAGGCCTCCAAGAGGGCCCCCAGGCAGGCCAGAAAAGGCCACCCAAACATCTTTTCCTTAAGTTTAGAAGGATTTTGACATTTGCTTCTTTTCGGCCTTCCGACGACCCGAGACGGCCCAAGTGCCCCCAAAGATCGCCCAAAGGTCGCCCAAGAGGTCTCCAAGATGGCCCCAGAACGGCCCAAGAGGCCTTTAAGACGCCCAACATGGCCTCCAAGACGGCCCTGAGGGCCCCAAGTCGGCCCAGAGAGGCCTCCCAAACGGCTTCCGACGGCGTCGGACGGGCCAGGAGCCCACCAAGACGGCCGAAGATGGCCCTAAGATGGCCCAAGACGGCCCAAGAGGCCTCCAAGAGGTCTCCAGGAAGGCCCGAAAAGGCCCAAATCATTGATTTCCTGCGAGTTTTTGAAGGACTGTGGCATTTGCTTTTTTTGTCGGCCTTCCGACTGCCCGAGACGGCACAAGTGCCCCCAAAGATCGCCCAAGAGGCCCAAGACGGCCCCTAAGAGGCCCCCAAGACGGCCCAAGAGGCCTCCAAGACGCTCAAGATGGCCTCCAAGACGGCCCAAGAGCCCTCCAAGACGTCCTCCAAGAAGGCCCGAAAGGGTCAACATGGCCTACCTTCAAGATGACCGCGTGTTCCCCGAAGGCTTTCCAAACGGATTCGGGGAGCACATGGTCCGATAACTTGGCAGGTCTGGCCTCCACGTTCGGCCACATAGGCGCTTCCAAAAAGGCAGGGGGCGGCGGTGATTCGCCGTAGGCGTCTTCGATCCGCCGCCTCCTGTTGGCTTGCAACAGGGGTGCCTGGCGTTCTAGATCCTCTCGGTTTTTTCCCTAAGAAGAACTCCCCCTGGGGCTTCGGCCCGTCCCGCCGGCCACCCGGAAAGGAGCTCAATTGCGGAAAAATCTTCCAAGACAGCTCAAGATGGCCTCCATGATGGCCACGTTGGCCCAAGATGGCCTCCAAGATGGTCCAAGATGGCCTCCAAGACTGCCCAGAAGGAGGAGATGCCTCCAAGTCCGCCTAAGAAACCTCCAAGACGGCCCAAGAAGGCCCAAGAATTGCCCAAGAGGCCTCCAAGACGGCCCAAGAGGCCTCCAAGAGGTCCTCCAGGAGGGTGCGAAGAGGCCAAACTCATGAATTGTCCTCAGGTTTCGAAAGTTTTTTCGTATTTGCTCCTTTTCGGCTTTCCGACGACTCAAGACGGCCCAAGAGGCCCCCAAGATCGCCCCCACAGCGCCCAAGAGGCCTCCAAGATGGCCTCAGGACTGCCCAAGAGGCCACAAGAGGGCACAAAGACGACCCAAGAGGCTTCCAAGACGCCCAAGATGGCCTCTAAGAGGGCCCAGGAGGCCCCCCAATCGGCTTCCGACGGCGTCAGACGGGCCAGGAGCCCACCAAGATGGCCGAAGTTGGCGCGAAGCTGGCCCAAGAGGCCTCCAAGAGGGCCCCCAGGAAGGCCAGACAAGTTCCAAAATACTTCTTTTCCTTAGGCCTCCAATATGGCCCCAGAACGGCCAATGGGCCAAAGAGGCCCCCAAGACGGCCCCAAGAGGCCCCTAAGACGGCCCAGGATGCTTTTAAGACGCCCAAGATGGCCTCCGAGACGGCCCTGGAGCACCCTAAGAGGGCCCCAAGTCGGCCCAGAGGAGCCACCCAAACGGCTTTCGACGGCGTCGGACGGGCCAGGAGCCCACCAAAACGGCCGAAGATGGCCCTAAGATGGCCCAAGACGGCCCAAGAGGCTTCGAAGAGGTCTCCAGGAAGGCCCGAAAAGGCTAAAATCATTAGATTCCTGTGAGTTCTTGAAGGACTGTGGAATTTGCATTTTTTCGGCCATCTGACGGCCCGAGACGGCCCAAGTGCCCCCAAAGATCGCCCAAGAGGCCCAAGACGGCCCCTAAGAGGCCCCCAAGACGGCCCAAGAGGCCTCCAAGACGCTCAAGATGGCCTCCAAGACGGCCCAAGAGCCCTCCAAGACGTCCTCCAAGAAGGCCCGAAAGGGTCGAAATGGCCTCCACACGGCCAAGATGACCTTCAAGATGCTCACGTGTTTCCCGAAGGCTGTCCAAACCGATTCGGGGAACACACGGTCCGATAGCTTGGCAGGTCTGGCCTCAACGTTCGGCCACATAGGCGCTTCCAAAAAGGCAGGGGGCGGCGGTGATTCGCCGTAGGCGTCTTCGATACATATACACGTTACCCAGACGACCATGCTTCGGGTGAGGAGGTTCGGGGGGGGGGGGAAGGGGGGAGGAACCAACGTCTCACTATCGATCTCACAATTGGTCTCACTATCGATCTCACTATCGATCTGACGATCAATCTCACTATCGATCTCACTATCGTTCTCACTATCGATCTCACGATCGATCTCACTATCGATCTCACGATCGATCTCACAATCGATCCCACTATCGACCCTACGGTTGATACCACTATTGATCTCAATGTCGATCTGATTAATAAACTCAATAGCAATCTCACTATTATTCTCACTGTCGATCTTACCATTGATCCCACCATCTCGGTCTCACTATCGATCTCACTACGGGACACCGACGGGACACCGGCGGGACACTCCCGGCCGCCGCTGGACAACCCGGAGGGGCGGTCTTTTGTCCCGGCGGCGCCATAGCCAGAGAAGGGTTCATTCCTCTCGCCCGTCCACGCAGCTTTGCCTCGCCCGCCCGCGCGACGCGAACACGAAACCGGAACCGATTTCCAGGTGGGGGGCTCTCCGGTTTACTGCGATCTCACCCCCTCGCCTCCGATCCCAGGTCGAGGCTTCACAGGCCCCTCCCTAGATGGGATGTGTCCCAGGGTTCACGGGCCTCCACCCCCCTCCATGGGGGGGGCGACGACGACGACGACGACGACGACGTCGTCGACGACGACGCTGCATCCACAGGGTCACGACCAAGGGGGCCGGGGGAGGGCATCGCGCGAGGGGGGTCCCGACGGCATCAGCATGGGGGGGGGGGGGCGCTGGAGCCCTGAATCATGTATGCCTGTTCCTTCGGGTCTCGCGGGGCGTATCCCCCACCCAGGAGAGCATGGGCTGGTGTTGTGGATGCCACGACGGTGGACACCCTAACAGTCCTATCATTGAATTTAAAATGTGTTTAAAATGTCGGGAAAGTGCCGTGAACATATTTTAGACATGTTTTTATATGTTTAAAGCATGCTTAGCACATGTTTTAGACATCTGGAAATTACTTGGCAACATGCTTCCCATCCATTGCTCGTCCTCCACAAGGCTGGTGGGGCTGAGGTACCGTGGCCCAGCGGGGGATGGGACAGCTTGGCCGATGCTGACCTCTGGGGCCCTCCATCTCGCTCAGCAGGTACCGCTGGAAGGCCCGGCGGCACAGCACCTCTGGAGGCCTTCCGAGTGGGGCCAGAGCTGAGACGGGGCCGGAAGATCGCGCCGCCTCGTCTGCAAGCACCGCCGATCCCAGACCTCCTCGCGTCGTGAAAAAATCACGAAGGAGGGTTTTCGCAATTTTTGGCCTCTGGGGGCCATCACCGGCCCTCGGGACCGTCAAAGAGCGACTCGGGATGAAAAACCGGTCCCGGCGCATAGGTCCGGGGTCGCGCAATGAAAAAATCATGACGTCGGGGGTCTGGGATGCGCCGTCGACGTCGGGACGGGGCCTGTCTAGAAAAAAAACGCCCTGCTTAAACATAAACTTTTGGCGCGCCGCGAAGATTTCTTGGATCTGCGCCAGACCCCCTCATTGGCGCGCGGAGCACGCCAGGGGCGGCGCCGGAGCCGCCGCCGGGGAAGACCCAGCGCGGATCCAAGAAGTCCGCGCGGAGCGCCAACAATCTATGTTTACGCCGTTTTTTCTTCTTCGACGGTCGGTCCCCGGACCGCGCCACCTCCCAGATGCGGCAGCGGTGCGGCGCGGTCCTCCGAGCTCGTCTGCTCCCCGGCCCCGCTTGTGGGAGGCCTCGAGCCTCGGCGTGGCAGTCGTGCACCACCCGGCCGCGCCCGGTGGCCATGGCGGCCACGCCCACGCAGCGCGTGCCAGTCGCCAGCGCCAGCACCCGCAGGCCGCCGTCCGCCGTGTCCTCCGCCACGAGGCCCGCCAGCACCGTCCTCGGCTACACGAGGGAGGAGGAGGCGGAGGCGGAGGAGGAGGAGGAGGAGGAGGAGGAGGAGGAGGAGGAGGAGGAGGAGGAGGAGGAGGAGGAGGAGGAGGAGGAGGAGGAGGAGGAGGGACCCTTTGGCCCTAGGCGAGAGTGGCCTTTGGTGCGCGGCTTTGGGGGATGGGCCGCGGAGGGCCCCCCCCGCGCGCGAGACGCTGTTGCCGAATCGCGCTCGGCGAGCGGGTGATCTCAGTGGGCCCGCGACCTAAAAGGCCACTCCGGCGAAGGGTTAAGAGACGAAGCCAGGACGAAGAGAACACCGGGTGAGGATAAAAAACGAGAAATTCGCTCAGGTCCCGCCGCTCTGGAGGATGCCTCGGGCGCCGCGGCCTTCTCTGACCGTTCTGGAACGCTCTGAGAGCCCAGACCCCCGACGTCATGATTTTTTCATGGCGCGACCCCAAGGGGTCTGGACCCTTCCCCAGGACCGGTTTTTCATCCTGAGTCGTTGTTTGACAGCCCCGAGGCCCGGTGAGGGCTCCCAGAGGCCGAAAATAAGGAAAAAGATTTGGTCGCGATTTTTGCGTGCCTCCAGGGGGTCCCGGGAACTGGTTGATCCTCGTCCTGGCCCCGTCCGAAGGGCCACCCTTGCGTGCAGCCGACGTCCACGCGGTGCCCTGCGGCTTCCCGCGCCCGGGCAGGCCGTCGAACTTCGCGATCACCGCCAGCGCCACCCGGTCGCACAGCGCGCCGCCCGCAGCGGCCGGCGGCATCGCGCGCCGCAGACCGCCGTCGGGGCCCCCATCCGACGCGCACGCGCTGGCCCCAGACCCCTCGAGTCATGAAAAAATCACGACGGAAGGTTTTTCTCTATTTTCGGCTCTTGGGGGCCCTCACCGGGCCTCGAGGCCGTCAAAAGAACGACTCAGGATGAAAAACCGGTCCCGGGGAACGGGTCCGGACCTCTGGGGGGTCGCGTCATGAAAAAATCATGGCGTCGGGGGTCTGGGGAGATCGGTCGTGGCCCCTGGGGCCAAGATGGCCGCTTCCGGGAGTGCGGACTGCAGAGTAAATGCGTGCACCGCCGTTTCTGACAAGGGGCCCAGGAGGGGTTCACAACGAAAAAGTCACACAGGCATCCCAGGCTTCCCCCGCAAGCTCCCATATCTTTTTCCTGGGTCTTCGTCTCCCCCTCCCCCACACTCCCCATCTCTCTCCACCCTTTCCCGGGGATCGACGATTCGTTGTGTCGGTGTGTGTGTTGGGGACGGCCTGCGCGCAGCGCGCAGTGTACGGCGACCGGAGAGGGCGCCACGCGGACTAGCAAACAGGCTAGTCGGTGAGGCGCGCCCCGCTGGTGAGGTGCACACCTCGGAGAATCTGACGTATCCGATGCTTCTTCCCCTCCTGAGTTTCCGCCGCCTTCCGCTGGCCTTTCCGCGGGCGCCCGCCCGCCGCCGGTGGGCCTCCGCGCGGGCGTCGGCCGAGGGCGAGCCATGCGCCGAGGGCGAGGCGCTGCCTGGAGCAGTCGCGCGTGGCTGCGAGGAGTTCGCGTCGTGGCGACCTGCGCGGTCGGTGGTCGGCTCCTGGCGCCGAATGGACCGCTCAACGGTGAGCTCTCCATCGTTCCATAACTTGCCGCTTTTAGTCCAGTCGGCGTTCAACCTTGAACGCCCGCGCCTTGGTCGCCGCCGCGTCGACATGACGCGAACCTACCGTACGGACCGTACACGACTGCGAGTCTCCTCCTCCCCGTCTTCTTCCAAACATTGGCGTTTTAGAAGTAGTGTAGTAGTAGTCGTCGTCGTAGTAGTAGTAGTAGTCGTCGTCGACGTCGTCGTCGTCGTCGTCGTCGTCGTCGTCGTCGTCGTCGTCGTCGT